ACCTTGTGAGACACTCATTTGGTTTATGCACCCATCACTGCCATACATTTGTAAATAATTACTCATCATTATAGCTATCCCCAACCTCTCCACTCTGCGCCTGGAAGGGAGAGACCACATAAAGTACAAGAAGAGCTTATGTAATAACACAGATGTTCTACAGATGAGGGCCTCACCCAGGTCAGATAAAATGTCACCAGCAAGGGCCTATACTCTGGGAATAAGAAGCGTTTGTGCCACTGCCCTAGAATTTTCTTTTAAAGGTACACTACCTTAGCCTAAATGTTTGCTTGTTAACATGGTAGACTCCAAGAGAAGCAAATTCTCCATGCTGTCCCATACTGTAGCCACGGGTGGCTATCTACATTTGGATCAACTTCCAAGTTCAGTTCCTGCGTCATACAAGCCACATTTAAGATGTACGTCACTTGAGGGCCTCAATCAGGTTGCAGCTCTAAAAATCGCTTCGTCATCTCAGAAAGGCCTGCAGGGCAGAGAGGCTCTCTCACCCATCTCTGTGTACTAAATCTGAAAATTACAGAGTAATGAAATCTGACGAAGCACCTGGGCCCTACCACAGCACATAAAAGCGTATCCCCTGGTAGTGGGTGCCAGTTCTTTCTCCCCGAGTAAGGGGCAACAGCAGGGAGCTGCCCTCAGTATGTATCAGGAAGAAAAACCTTTGTCCAGGGGGCCAAAAAGAGAGCAAAGCCGGGAAACAAGTGAAAGCCGTTGTACGTCACTGTCGTCTTCTCATTCCATTTACAAGAACGTCAGTGGTACTGTATTCTGTGTCCTCACAGAGTAATGTGCTGTTCATCTGACAGCTCACAGCAGAGGTGGTACGGATGCTTCAGAAAGGGAGGGAGGGAGGGGCAAAGCAAATATGAGAGAATTTAATGGCGGCCACTGCAAAGAATTTAGTGTCAACTATGTGCCACCGATACGCTGATTTAAAAAAAAAAATCATTCCTTAACTTTGAAGAGAACAATTTCTTGTTAAAGACATCGAACGTGTAACAAATAGGATAAGCTGTGTCTGACAAAATGAACCAGGGATGTGCACAAGACATAATACATTATATTTATTTAAAATAAAATGCTGGGTGCTGGAGAGATGGCTCAGCAGTTAAGAGCACTGGCTGCCCTTCCAGAGGCCCCGAGTTCAATTCCCAGCACCTAGATAGTGGCTCACAACTGTCTTTTACTATAGTCACATGAGGTCTGACGCCATCTTCCGGCGTGCAGACATACATGCAAACAAAACACCCACGTAGATAAATATTCACTTTTAAGAAAACATTACTAAAAAGACAACAGGGTAAGTTTCTGAAGGAGGTACCAGAGAAGCAAACAAGCCCTCTTAAAAGAGCTATGCAAGGACCCCCTAAACCAACAGCTCTCAACCTATAGATTGTGACCCTTTCTTGGGGGCGGGGGCTGTCAATCGACCCTTTCACAGAGGTCGCCTAAGACCATTGGAGAACACAGATATTTACATTATGATTCATAACAGTAGCAAAATTACGGTTATGAAGTAGCAAGGAAAATAATTTTATGATGAGGGCGTCACAGCATTAGGAAGGTTGAGAACCACTGTGCCTAAATGGTCTGACAATGCTGAAAACAGTGTCACTCGTGGGGATGGTACCAGGATAGACAGAGAAGGAACACAACTGGAGAACGATTTATCCCAAACCAACAAGTTCCTGTTTATGTTGCAGTGGCCTGGGTGGGTCTTCGAGCTCGGCTCACCAAACTGCAAAGAACGCGAACATTAACCTTGACACCTTGACCTCTAACATACTTACCCACGTCCACCACGCTGCAGACTCTGCGGGGGCAATCATTAGTGTGCATATTCAGAGTTCTTTAGGACCCAAAGGCCAACGATGATCATGCAAATGGTCACGGGAGTATTAGAACTCCGTGTTTAGGGGGAAAACCTCAGTTTACTGTGTCGTTCTCTCCTCGGAAATCAGCGAGCGTGTTTTCCAAACACGTAACCGGAACCCCCACCACATCTCCATGTTCCCATCAAGATTATATAAACGAGAAACAATCAAACCAAGGAGACTTTTGTAAAAAGCAAAGATTCTGTACCCCAGAAAGTGTGTGCTTCCTCCACGATTTTCACGGCAGAACTTCTCAGACACTGTACCCCCCCCCCGGGGGGGCACTTTTGGCCACTTCCAAATGGTGACCACCACGACATCCTTATTCACGAACACGAGTAGAACACAGATGCATCTTCTGGACTCTTCTTCAGGTTACACGTATGTTCAACAACAAACATGGAACTACTCCCAGGGATCCACCTGTTAACTTCAAATTGCTAACAGCCCTCCCCCTTCCTCCACTGTAAACTTCTAGAATAGGTAGCCTGAAGGCCTTAATGAATTTAGCAAATAGTTCTCCTCCCTTTCAAACAAGGGAACCTGTCCAGATAAAAGCTTCAAGAAATCCGAACACACAAACGCAGGCCCTCAGGCTAACATGCACTGCTCCGGGGCTGTTCACAAAGGTCAAGCAGCCCCAAAATAATGGTTCCAAGTATGTGCTCTGGGATCTGCCCCTCCTGGATCCCAGTGAGGGGTTCCTCACACTACCACCTCCGCCGGAACCGCCTGTGCTTGCATTTGCCCAAATGTAAAACTGCTACTTCTCCAGGTTACAGCCATGTTTGCGCAGTCATCCTGTCTGGCACATACAGGCCCCATTTAGTGATAGATCGACATGTTAACTATTGGGGCTATTTTTCACTCTTTGGTGCGTAAATATGGATGACTCAACAACTATCTGGTCTACCAAGCTGGCTACCTACGGATTTTCATTTCAACTGCGTCACACTTTACTGGAGAAGGAGGAGGTGAAGAAAATGGCCCTCACTCCTGGCTCTGTTTGGATTTCAGGTCCCCGGCTAGGAGAGTGGGTGTCGGGATGAATTTTAAAGGTCGCGGGTCGGTTATACCGTGCAGCCTGGAAGAAGAGCCAGATGTTGACACTCCTGTGTCCAGTGATCACACACCTGTGAGGTCCGTTCGATCCCTCCGCGGCTCCTCCAGCCCTGCGGGGGGGACAGCTGACTCGCAGGGATGCTGTGACGACGATTCCAAACACTGCTCCAGGGGGACAACCGCGACCAGCCCGACCGGCCCGTGGCCCGCGAGGCAGTCTGCGGACCGTGCCGAGGGGCCGCGACCCTTCCCGCGCCCTCCCTCGCGTCCGGGCCGCCAGCGCCCAGCCCCCTCG